TACAACACTGTTCCAGAACAGTTCAACCCAAATATTCAGATGTGTGCAGCGCATTTTACGGAGGACTGTTTCCTGATCCTGGGAGAGTAGACTACAATGCCGTCTGTGCACAAAGGTTGTTTCTATACAGTGGGGCAATTCCAACTTTGACAACAAAGCACTTGAACGTGACAAGCTCATAATTACAACTTCAGAAGTGGTAAGTAGGAAATTTCCGATAGCACGTGAAGGCAGCATTATTTTCCCCTATAAGAGCGGGTGCAGCCATTTGTAATTTCAATGTGTCTGGCTTCCGGTCTCATCTACTTACAGCTATTTTTAGCTGCACAAAACAGCTCGTTTTGCTGCTTCATATTGCAAACTGCTGTTATTTACCATATTTAAATGTATTGCCTTAATTATAAACACACTAGTTTGTAGCGCAAACTGTTTTACCGTTTACTGCACTTCGTTTATCTTGTTATTTCCCTACAGCGGCTAATGCATTGGAAGTCTCGCACATTCACAGAAAACAGCTTACTTCCTCGTTGAAAAACAAGATGGATATTGACAGCACACAAAATCCACATTGAAATATGTGCCAATTGAAATGAACAAATAAAGCCCTCGTGGTTGCGATCAGGTGCTTCATTAAAATCATATTTATTATACGGCTCTGGAATACTTGATTCTGATTGGTCAGTCGCGACATTCTGAGGTATGCTATCCCTCGATAACAACCGGTAAAAGCTAATAACACAGGCTCATCCAGGTAACAGCAGTTGGCGCTGTACTCTTGCTTGAACTATTTTTTCTTGGTGGAAGCTTTGCGTTTGTTTAGCTAATAAAATATTAAAACTCGATTCAAAATGGTGTACAATTATTTAATTATGTCATCCTGGTATCGCGGACTCGCTCTACATCCAGCCAGTTGTTATCTCAGAATAAACCCCTTCAGGGTGATACAAGGCCCCTCTATATATATATATAGGTGTCCTGATCACCCTGTCGGGGTTTATTCTGAGATAACAACCGGCTGGATGTACATTATCCCTTACATATATACACACACACACACAGAGAGAGACACACAAAGAAAAACAAGTAGATAGAATAGAAAAAAATAGAAAGCTAGTGTTTTTTTTTTAAATAAAAAAGACGATAAATAAATAAAGTAGAATTAAAATAGAATAGAAAGTGCTAGAGTTAGAGGGTCAAATAAAGATGGAACAGATGTGTTTTTAGCCGATTCTTGAAGATGGGTAAGGACTCAGCTGCTGGGATTGAGTTGGGCAGGTCATTCCACCAGGAGGGAACAGTTAATGAAAAAGTCAGTGAAAGTGATTTTGTGCCTCTTTGAGATGAACAATAATACACCGTTCACTTGCAGAACGCAAGCTTCTAGAGGCACATAACTCTGAAGTAATGAATTTAGGTAAAGAGGTGCAGAGCCAGTGGTGGTTTTGTAGGCAAACATTAATGCCTTGAATTTTATGCGAAATAAAAAAAATTAACTAGTAATATAAAACTATTATATACCCCCAGAGAGGACTGTGAATGCAACACGTTGTTTCGACTACTTTGGATTTTTTGCCATTTTGTAAATAAAACACTTGTCAGACTGTTATGTTTTTCTTTTTATTGTAGCCTATGTATTTTTATGACATTGTTTGTTTTCGAGGGATTAGTCGTTCATAAATATGTATATATAGGTAGGCTATATTTTAACAAAGATATTGTTGTGTATATTGTTTTTCTTTCTTGTTTTCTTGTGATCGTGATGTAACGAAAGTTGTTTTCTCATTATCACGACTTAATTTTCCCGAGTTGTTTTTACAGTGATTGTTTGATTTTTAAAACACAGTCTGTCATGAGTCTACTGTTGCTATAGTAACGAACGCAACTTTGATGCACATGTGATCGACAGATAAACCGTGCGCTCTACAGTATACTGTATGTTGTGGATATTTCAGCAAATTTTGCAACACGTAGTAATAAGGTCTACAACAAACAATTATAGGCTAATCAATCACTGTTGATTTTTTTTCCCCCACAAATTATAGCGATCACGAAGAAGGTCCTTACTCTGTCCCAAACATGAACAGTAAGGTGGATATACAGTATGCAAGTCCCAATCAGTTATTTTTAATTCAACACTGCCACCTGTTGGCGCAGTTGTGTAACTTAGAGAACAACTTCTGTTGTCGAGATCACGAGAAAAATAAGTTGAAAGACAGCTCATCCATTGATCTGCATGGGCAGAGATGCACATTTATCTTACCAAAATAATGTCAGACATGCACTGAAACTATTCAGAATTAGAAAAAACAGAAAAGTGGTTTTAAATGATGTTGACTAAAATTGACACCCCTTCACAAAAAAATCTAAAAATAAAGAAAAATGGTCTTGTGCACTAAAAAAATTAGTTTGTCAGTTTAACTGGATAAAATTACAACACCCATTTCAACACAATTGAATAGATTTTCAGAACATAAATTGGGTGAATTGCACAGACAATGACATCCCCGGCTTTAGAATTCATTTTAGAATTAACTTTAATTGATTCTATTATAATCCTATTTTAACCATGTGTAATGAATGAATACTGCTGGCAGAAAGCACCAGAACGAAAGTTTATTGCACCAGCATTTCATAGTAATTAATCACTCACTGAGAAAAGCAGCATACATGTAAGAATGCCACAGCTGGTGTTGAAAATTTCAGTAGTTCATCAGTAATGCCAGACTGAATTACATTCTTAAATAGCCATTTAACATGTGATATAGACCTAACCATGTATCAACTGCTTAGTTTAAAATGTAAAATTTAATGGTAAAAGCATGTAATTAGTGAATTTGAGTTTAATGTTGGTTTATTTTCAGGAAAAATGTATGAACACCACACTTGGCTTTATTTAATTGTATTTATTTTTTGATAAGTACAGTAAAGATGAGAAGGAAAACAACACCCAAAACAACAAATAGCATCTGTCTCATGCATTTAAATAAATAACAGGCTATATAACAATATGGCAAATAATAATTAGACCTAAATTTAAAGAACTGAATTGAATGTAAATCAATTAATCAATCAATCAAATTATCAGTTCAAAAAATGATGACTAACGTGAAAAAAGTTGTGTGGTGAGAGTTTGTGGTTCTATTACTTGTGGTTTGGCATTTGTGAGTCAAAAAGCATTGATTGATTGATTGATCGATTTACCTATTTTAACACAAAGTTGACATTATTTATGCAACAGTTGTACATTATAACATAATTATAACATTACTTCTTCTTTGTCAATAAGTTGAATTTGTAAATTCACATTTACTTTAGTATTAACCATTAAACGTTTTGCACGTTTGCGACACTCCCTAACTCTGAAGTTGCTAAAGCAGGCAAAAGTGACTGGGCATAATCACCCGATGGCAGGGCCATATTTGTCTGCCAGGCCAGGTCAATGCAAAGTAATAGAATTTTATTGCAGCATTAACAGAGTTATATTACTACGTATAACATACAATTTGTAATTGTTTAATAAAAGAGAAAAGCAATTAAAGCGATCTGGTTGTTACATTTGTGTAATGAGAGTTCAACGGTTGCGAATGTGCCTATTTATTTACAATGTGATTTAGCAGTTTTGAGTATTGAAGCCAGTCACAGGCGTTTCAGTGTGTAAGTTACCGGCTGTGAGAATCCGCTCAGTATCTCTCAAAAAGCTGTATGAGTTTCTTTAGCACAATTTTACAATGAGTTTTACATGAGCGCAAATCCTCTTATTATAACAAGCAAATCAGAGACACGATGTAAACAAAAGATCCATGGTGAAGTTTAGTCAGATTCATTGATTACAGCGGTAGTTTTCCCACTCAATGAGTTTGCATTGAACTCACTGACAGCTTCAGTTATTATTATAAAGGAAGCGCTCTTTACTCGCAGTCTTCAATTCGCAATTTGAAGAAAAGTTTGGCAACACTTTCTTTGAAGCCCGTATTTATAATACATTATAAGGGTATTCTTAAGACATTATAATGAATGCATGATGTATTATTAAAAACCTTATAATATGTTGTATCATCTCATGATTAATCATAACAAGAGTTTTAATGCATTATAATATTTACTTATTTGTAGTTATAGCATTTAAATGTATGATGATTTATAACACAATGAACACAATGCATCCACTTAACTTATAATACATTATAATTATGGAAAAATATAATCCATTGTAAGTCTCATATCTTGCCATTGTTAACTTGTTACTTTACTTAAAGCAGACAGATACCACTTATAAATAATAATAACAATGACAACAACAATAATATGGCACATTTGCTTTAACCATATTTAATGTAATGTCAGTAAGATACTGTGCAGATCTTAAATAAACTATAATTGTTATGATTATTTATTAGATGAAACAACATATTATATGATTTTTTTTAATGATGCACCATGCATTCATTATAATGCGTTTGCGTCCAAATAAGAATCACATATAGCTTTGATCAGAACGCAGCAATGTTGTCACGTCGAGGGAGTAAGATTTGATGACGTCAGCAGAGTTCACCATACCTCGGCTTTTGGTAAATTCTTGCCCCTGGGCATAATTTGCGCCTAAAAATAACCGTTTATAATTCAAATGTTATTTATTTATTTATTTCATTTCGCACGCATGTGCTGTACTCCATCCATTCACGAGAACCTCTTCTCCTCATTACAGCTCCAGAACACCATTACCAATATAAAGTATGAAAATACAGGGAATTTCATTAAAAACTTATAATATACATACATTACAATAAATTGGTAATTATTAACAATAAAATAACCATTAAATAAAATATTGATGACAATAAACAGAAAAACATATCACATTAAGTTTTATTATGCTTTTGGGTTGTATGAATTTGATTTGAATTGATTTGACTTTTTCTTAGAATTGCCTGATATAAACTCTAAATTTCTTCATAAATTATTACATTTCTTCATAATTTTATGAATGTGAATTTAGTGACTCAAAAAGACTGATGTCCAGGGCATTGTTTTCTTGTATCACGGCGACCTGTAAATGAAACATTGTTTGCTATTACATATCATAATTTTATAATCATTCCTTTTTGTGCAGCATATGTCATAAGTTATTGAACAAATGTGAGAACACACTCACGTTTGCCAGCGTTCACTTTCCGCATCACTTTCTCTTTAGGAGTTTGAAACCAACTCAATGTAATGTCTGTGAATCCTCTATCAGCCAGAGCAGATCCCAACTGGAAATAACATTCATACTAAACTGTTTAGATCAGAATATGACAAGACATTCAAATCTTCCTCTTATCTTTTCTTGTGTCATGTCCCAAACTGTGCTTTTGTAATTGTTCATGCTGTAAATAGTTTGACTGAATAATCAATAGGTGATCAGCACTCCTGTCAGTGAACCTTTGTATCATAATATACACAACAGCTGATTTTGTTTTTAATAAATTCAGGTCATAATATTTAACAATGCAATTAGTGTTTGTTTTCTCATCACTTGTTACTTTTTTTCTCACCTGCTTCAGAACGATTTCTGTCATTGTAGAGTCGGTCAAATCTTTGCTGGAGTGAAACATCAGTTTTACAAATGATCTTTTTAAACAGGGACCTAGAAAAATATATTCATATATATATGTAAATTCATAAAAAATCCCAAGAATATGGTTCCCTTTCGAATGTTCTCTCACGCTATGTATGGGGAAACTCCTGTTTACACTGGTACTGAAGCCTGATTTGTTTACGTTTGTGTAGCTGCACAAACCAATGGCGCTCTAGCCCGCCAGAATGGGTGGATCCGACCTCTATATAAGTTGGCTCGGAGTGCCATTTCATAAGAATATTCTCCTTCAGTGACGAGGATCCTCTTTGGTGACGCTGGACTATGAAGCCGAAGAAGAAGGAAGAAGCTCAGCCTGCAGCTCGTCGCCGTCAAAGAGCCCCGGCAGAGGAAGAGGCCAGAAGCCTTCCCTGTGGCTATCCGGCGCACTAAAAGAGCAAATTTCTGAGCAAATTTCCTAGCAACGTTGTTTCAAATGGCGTGCTGCGAGTGTGGCTCCTGCAGGGAAGCCCTGCACGATGCAGAAGGGTGCAGTGAGTGTGTCGCTGTAACAACGTTCGTAGATCGGGAAGAAGGAGGCAGGAACCGGCGAACATTTAAACATAAAACTTTAATAAAGAAATGAACAAACACAAAACAAAAGTAAAAGCGGCAGCTCCTCAACCAGCTGAGAGGTTCTCACTCGCGGTGCCATGCTATGGTACTGGACATCTTTGGTGGACGGCCCAACGCCTCCTGGCGAACGGTGCCGACTCCTCCGCTCCCTCTTGGACGGCAGCCAATGAGCTTCGCCAGCGAGCTCTCTGTCCCACTGGCGGTCTCCGCTCCTTCCTGCTGCCCGACCTCCTCAGCAGCGAGGGCTCTCTGACAACGTGTCCCTCCTTCCTCCCGGGTTTCAGCACCAATGTAACAGCGTTCGTAGATTGGAAAGAAGGAGGGGGGAACCGGCGAACATTTAAACATGACACTTTAATAAATAAATAAATAAACAAACACAAAAATGAAAGTTAAAGCAGCAGCCCCTCACGGACGACTGCAGCATAAAACATAATGAAACAACAACATAAAATCTAGGCCTGGTCCTCTCTCGTTCTTCACTGTAGTTACTCCTCCTTTTATCCCTCCTCCATGGGACTCAAGACCAGTGAGTGGCGCAGGTGTCGCTCATTATCATTTACTCCACCGGCCACGCTCTGTTTCCACGGCCCTCGGCCCCACCCCACTCGTCACAGTTGCCTGTCTGGGCAGCGCCCACGCAGAGACTGCGCTCTCACTGAGACGGAATGCTCTCACTGAGAGCATGAGTCTCGCTCTTCTCCACTCGCTGACCGCCTTCTTCAATGAAGGCAGCCCCGCCCTCGTTTCTCCTCTGTCAGCAAGCTCAGAGAAAGAAACGGTGAGTCCCGGCATAGAGCCCGCGTGTTCAGTCTCCCCCACCACTTTGATCCACCCATGTGTTTTACATGTAAGGATCAGCGCCCCTCATTACATCGAGCTGCTCAATCCTTCTAGGCGGATTGGAGTAGAATGCTTTCACCAAAGATTCTGTATTGCTGACAGCTTCATATTTGTGTGTGCACCGCTGAGGCTGCGCTCACGGAGACGGGCTGCTTTCACTGTGAAAGCATGAGTCTGTCCCCGCTTCACTCGCGGATCGCTTTTTTCAACGAAGGCGACCCCTCCCATTTCTCCCCTCTCAGCTGCCTCGGAGGAAGAAACGGAGAACTCAAGGGTTGAGCAATCAGGATTGAGTGATTCACGCCGGCACAGGTGCCGCGTGCGTCACTCTCCACGCTGCTGTTTGATCTGCTAGTGTGTTTTACATGTGAAGATCAGCACCCCTCGTCTGCTTTGAGCGGTTCGATCTTTTTAGGCGGTTCAAAGGAGAATGCTGTCACCAATGATTCTATATCGCTGACAGCTTCAGTTCTGAGTGTGCCGCACGCCTGGGCCACGCCCACACTGGGGCTGCGCTTACTGAGACAGATCGCTCTCACGATGAGAGCGTGTATCTTGCTCTGCTTTGCCTACGGTTCCCCTTTTTCAATAAAGGCAGCACCACCCCTCCCGCGCTCACGTTCTCCCCTCCCAGTTGCCTTGGAGGATGAAACTGTGAAGTCGCGGGGCTGAGAAATAGGGCTGGAGTGATGTCACGCCGGCATAGGTTCCGCGTGCTTCACTCTTCCTGCAACACACTGATCCGCCAGTGTGTTTTACACGTGAGGATTAGCGCCCCTCGTTTGCATCGAGCGGTTTTATCCTTTTAGGCGGATGTAAAGATGCGCGCAGCATAGACTGGGTCATGCCCATGCCAAGGCTGCGCTCACGGGGGCTGACTGCTGAAAGAGCACTGACCTAGCGAAGCACATTTGAGAGGAAACGGAAGGATCAGTTCTCGCTGAGGCTGGAACTCCCTCTAAGAAAGCTTGCGCTCGCTCTCCATCCCTTGCGTTCAACACTGAGTGATGGAAGTTTTATTCAAGCTGGGCACGTCCTTCAAGTTCAGTGCATGCCCAAGCAAACTGCTGCTGATAGCGGACACATACAAAAGAGCATTTCTCCTCTCCTCACTTTCATGAAAGCAAGTTCCCCGCCATTATACGGCGAACTTCCATTCATAAAATTAGAACCTCTTGCCACCCGGTTCAAGGCTTGGGCACTTCGGTACGGGACAACAAAGCTCATGTTCTTCGGTCCAAAGTACAAATATTGCTTGCAAAAGCTACCGTGGAAACAGCACAGAGAAAACTTCCCAGCTCTTGAAGTACAAACATTGCTTGCAAAAGGTGCCGTGGAAACGGTACCTCTAGCGAACAGCGAGCCAGGCTTTTCAGCCACTACTTCGTCATGCCGAAGAAGGATGGCGGGCTCAGACCTATTCTAGATCTCAGACTTCTGAATTGCTCGCTTATCAGATGGCCATTCAGGATGTTAACTTTGAAACAGATCCTCGCACAGGTTTGTCCCGAGGACTGGTTTCTGACAGTGGATCTGAGAGATGCATACTTTCACATCCACATAACCCCCCGCCACAGACCGTTCTTGAGATTCGCGTTCGTGGGATTGACCTATCAGTCCACAGTCCCATTTGATTCTAGATCTCAGACTTCTGAATTGCTCGCTTATCAGATGGCCATTCATTCAGGATGTTTTGAAACAGATCCTCGCACAGGTTTGTCCCGAGGACTGGTTTCTGACAGTGGATCTGAGAGATGCATACTTTCACATCCACATAACCCCCCGCCACAGACCGTTCTTGAGATTCGCGTTCGTGGGATTGACCTATCAGTACACAGTCCCATTTGGACTGTCTCTAGCCTCTTGCACTTTTACTAAGTGCATCGACGTTGCTCTTTCCCCTCTGAGACAAATGGGAATTGGCATCCTCAATCCTCAATGCCAGGATGCAGCATGGCTTCCAGCTCGGCCTAATGGCAGCCGCCTCCTCTGTGATTCCTCTAGGCCTGCTTCATATGCAGTCTCTTCAATTTTGGCTCAAAGCCCATGTCCCGTCCCACGCCTGGCACCTGGGCCGGTTTTACGTCAGGGTGACCCATCGCTGTATCAAAGTTGTGGCCGCTTGGACAACTTCTTGCCTATTCCAACCAGGTGTGCAGTTGGGACTGACCTCCAGGAGGAAGATAGTTAAGACGAATGCCTCCAACACTGGTTGGGGGACTCTGTTAGAGGGCTATCCGGCGTTCAACTCCTGGTCAATCTATGAGCGGAGCCTCCATATCAACTGCCTGAAAACCTTCCTGCTAGCCTTAAGGGGGCACCACGTCCTGGTCAGATCGGACAACATGACGGTGGTAGCCTATATCAACCACCAAGGTGGTCTCAGGTCACGTTCCCTTTACAGGATGGCTCAACGCCTCCTACTTTTGGGCACAGAGCAAACTCCTCTAATTCAGAGCGGTTCATGTGCCGGGCAGTCTGAACCTTGGGGCAGACATGCTGTCCAGAAGCAATGTAGCTCAGGGAGAATGGACACTACATTCTCAGACGGTTCAGGAAATCTGGTCTGTCTTCGGAAGGGAAAAGGTCAACCTCTTTGCCTCAGAAGACAACTCTCATTGCCCAAATTATTTCTCCATGCAGCGAGATGCGCTGGCCCATGATTGGCCCAGCTTTTGCCTGAGTGCCTTCCCCCCGATTGCCCTGCTTCCTCAGGTCATCAGACGGGTCAGGAAAATCGGTTGCTCAGTCCTCCTGGTGGCCCCACTTTGGAAGAACCAAACTTGGTTCCCCGAGTTAGTGCAGCTGTCAGCAGCTGCCCCGTGGCAGATACCATTATGGAGGGACCTTCTCTCGCAGGTGAAAGGCATGATTTGGCACCCCCGGCCTGAGCTGTGGAGACTTCATGTCTGGAGCCTCGACGGGAGTCTATACAGGCATGAAGCCTGGACCCAGTTTCTTGTAACGTGTCCCACAACTTTTGCGCAAGAGTTGCTGGACAACGGGCGCGCCCCTTCCACGCTCAAATTTTGTGGCAGATATTGCAGCAAATCATTCCCTCGAAGCTGGCAAGTCCAGAAACTACTTAGTCTTTAAGTTCTTGAAGGGAGCCCAGTGATTCAATCTTTCTGGTCCTGTGCCGACGGGGCCCTTCCCTTTGAGCCGCACGGAATTTGTCTATTTAATCTGCCTATTTCTCCCCAAGGGTGGAAATGATTATATAAACTCAGTTTGGCTCATGTTCTTTAGGGGTCCTTAACCTAGTGCTCCAAGACTGGGCTCGCTCCATTCTGCCGACCTGCGGCCTATGTCGATTAAGACCGCTCTCCTTATGGCATTAGTGTCAGTCAAGCGACTGCGTGACTTGCAGGCACTGTCAATCAGTGCCTCCTGTCTTGATTTTGGGCCTAATGACTGTAAGGTCGTCCTCAAGCCAAGACAAGGCTATGTAAAAGTCTGTTTAGAGCCCAGGTAATTACCCTTCTGGTACTCCCCTCTGCAGACGGTGAGCAGGGTCCCAATACACTGTCTGGTTAGGGCTCTTGTACGTTGAGTGCTCTGGTCTTTTCAGACAAACAGAGCAGCCCTTTGTCTGCTTCGGAGGCCGCAGTAAAGGGCTGCCGGTTACAAAGCAGAGACTTTCCCGCTGGATAGTAGATGCTATAGCCTTGGCTTATGCCTCAGAAGGCTTGCAATGCCCTATCGGGGTGAGGGTCCATTCCACCATAGGAATGGCCTCCTCCTGGGCGTGGTCCAGCAGAATTTCTATAAGTAAGATTTGTGCAGCTGCCAGCTGGTCGTCGCCGTCCACATTTGCCAGATTCTATTATTTAGACGTCCCTGCCCTGCAGGCATGGATTTGTCTGTTTTATCTACCTATTTCTCCCTTAGGGTAGAAATAGCTATATCTGCAGTCCTCAGCGGTGCTTGGGAGTCAGTTTGGCTCATGTTCTTTAGGAGTCCTTAAATATTCAGAGACTGGGCTCGCAGAGCAGGTCGTTCTGTATCTGCTCATAGCACGGCATGATTGGATGCGTTCCCCATACACAACGTGAGAGAACGTTCGAAAGGGAACGATCCGGTTACTGACGTAACCTTGGTTCCCTCAGATAAGAGAAGGAGCGTTGTGTCACTTGCCGTGCTTTAAGCAACACACGAATCGATGACTGCCACTTCAGTCGAATGATTCAGATGAAATGGCGCTCTAAGCTGACTTATATAGAGGTTGACTCCACCCATTCTGGCGGGCTAGAGCACCATTGGTTTGTGCAGCTACATAGATATGAACAAATCAGGCTTCAGTACCAGTGTAAACAGGAGTTTCCCCATACACAACACTTGTTCCCTTATCTCAGGGAACTAAGGTCATTTAAGTAAGCGGAGCTTTTGCACCCTACAAATGAGCTTGCATTTATTAAAACTTATCCACGCTCCTCACTGCGCCATATTGACAAAAATGTGATGACGTGAACACATTATACATTATAAACCAATATATTATAGATATATTATAAACCAATTTTACTGATGTATACCTTCTCCATAGACCTTCACCTCACACAGAGTGAGTATCTTCATGTCTCCAGGAACGATCAGATTCATGTAACGTCCCTCCATCCCATCACACAAGTAGCTGTAGGACTCACCTGCTGGAATAGCAGGAATAACAGCACATCTACAGACAGAAAGAGATGAGGGATATAAAAAATTGTGTCATATCTGCATTTGTGCTCGACGTCTCACGCTCTTTCAACCTTAAGTTTCTCACATGGGATTGTTGGTGCCGTTGTTCTCCAAAGAGTTTCCGATACGAATCTCCGCTCCATTTATTTGTTCTGCACAGCAGTCTTTTCTATTAGTGATAACCACTTTACTAACTCTGTAAATATGACGCAGATCCAGCCTCCACCACAGGTTAGTCTCATTAAGGGTTGAGGAGCATCCCGTATACAACTGTTGAAGACCTCGATCAATGGCCTTTTCAGCAAACCAGTCCTCAGATGTTGACGACTGTATAGCAGCTCCAGCTACTGCCAGATTTTCTAAAAAATGTATGGAAAGAAAATGTCACGACTTGTCTTGATGCACAAAGTTTGCAGCAGAGGGAAAGATTTTTGAGGAACCACGACTGGAGGTGAAAGGAGTTATTTACTGCATCAACTACCCTCACCAAACTGAATTGTGAAAATTATGATTTTGTGTTTCTTTTTAGTACGTTCAAAGTATGGCATGTTAGTACATGAATTATATATTAATGTAGAATATTGAATATAATGCTCTACAACAATGAATTACCTGCCAAATACCCGTAGACTTCAACCTCACAAAGAGTAAGAATCTTCCAGTCTCCAGGAATATGAATAATCATGTAACGTCCCTCCAATCCATCACATAAGTAGTTGTTGGACTCACCTGCTGGAATATCAGGAATAACAGCACATCTACAGGCAGAGAAACATGAGGGATATAAAAATACTGTCATATCTGTTTCAGTCCTTCATATTTGTGTTTGACGTCTCGTGTTCTTTCAACCTCAAGTTTCTCACATGGGATTGTTGGTACCGTTGTTCTCCAAAGAGTTTCCGATGTGAATCTCTGCTCCGTTTATCTGTTCAGCACAGTAATAAAACACAGAACATTAGCGGGAGTGTGAAAATAATTGTATTACTCTGCAGTGTAACAGGACATTTGAAAGTTGCGCCAACACTTTTTTCCCCTTTCGCTTTCCGTACATCCAGTTGCGCTTCGGTGCCTCTGCGGAAGTTGTCAGCGGACACGCTTTGTAGATGGGGAACAGGAATTCCAGAAGGGAACCGAATCGACTGCTACACCGGCAGTCATAACATTAACACGGAGGAACATGTGTAACGGTTGCCTTGCAGAAACGAACAGGGTTAATGATGTGTTGTGTGTGTGTGTTTCTTATAATAAAGTTAACAATGGCCAGCCGCATACGTTATCTATAATAAAATATAATATAAATATAATTTAATATCAGAAGAATCAGAAGGAGCTTTATTACCAAGTATGTTCACACACACAAGGAATTTGACTTGGCGACAGGAGCTATTAGTATAATATAAAATAATAAATGAAAACATTAGTCATCTTTTTTTATACCTTTACCCAACCCCGTTACATATAAGAAAAACTGAGACATATAGACACATCAATTTACATTGTTCTTTATTTATATTAACTTCAGCAGCTGATATAATATTTTTGTCCCTTAACCATTTGCCCAAAATATGATGGAATTTTATCAGAATGATATCTTAATGAGAAGCTCAGAGTTTCCATGTTGTATGGCTGCACAATTACGACAAAAATCATAATTGTCGATTATTCCCTTGAAATTGTAATTGCGATTATTATTTACGATTATCACAATTTACATTGAATGATGTTTATACCATTGTTTGATGCAACTGCATGCCATATATTTATATGAAAATAAACAAGCTGAAAACACTCTTGACTGAAAAACCTTTAGTGCTTTTCTATAGTATTAAGCCTCAAATGTCAACTATACATCGGATTGGTTTCTTCTTTAAATTATAAATAAAGTAAAAATATGAATGGTATTATAATGTTATACTAAAACAATGGAAAAACCCTTAAGATAACATGTAGAAAGAAAAAAACATATCTTAAGCGTGCAGAATAACATAAGTGGACTTTGAACGATTAATTGCCGCTTTGAACGATAACGTAACTGTGGCATCCGTAATTGTAATAGCGATTAGAAATTCGATTAATTGTGCAGCCCTACCATGTTGTACACATTATCTTCACTTTTTTGTTTTTTTTGCCATTCAGATTGAGTTATAGAGTCTTTTTTGAGCCATTCCTAGTTCCTTCACTTTTTACTAGTTGCACTTAGTATATTATAAATGTACTTGTCTTTGTCATTTTTGTTGAAGAAATTCCCGAATACGTTGTTTTAAAATTACATTCAGAGTTTAATACCAATTTATGCATTTATCTCTACATTTAAGTCCTGCCAGTAAGCACGAATAATGTTACAAATCCATAAGATGTGAAATGTTTTTTTTTAATCGCTCGTTTCTGCGTCTTCCTCGTCTGTGTTTTTGATCGGGTGATTGTGGACTCATTCAGGAGATGTGTAATAGCGCCTCCACGCGTATAGCAGGGAAATCACGGAAAATTCTGTGTTTGGCGGGGAAAGAGTTAATGTTAGTGCATGCAACTTAAAATTTTAAAATGTATTCGTTAGAGATGAAAAGGTATGAAAATTTCATATCACGATTACAGTGACCAAAATGATCACAGTTATCAATATTACAATCTTGCATAAAGTTTTGACAAATTTTTTTAAAATAAAATGATAAACCTCACATTTCAGTTTTTAAATCAGTAAAAAAAAAAAAAAAAGGATGAGTCAAAATTAAAAATTCTATGCATTTTATCTGCTCCAAAAACAATTCTACATATGCTACATTATTATCCGAAGAGTTGTGATTTTTAGAATGCACATGAGCTTGCTTTCCATCTACCGGTTAAGATTTATAACAAAGATTAAGTCCAATTTTTGCATTGGTCTGAACACACATGGCAGTAAATTCACTCTCTGACAGCAGGTGGCGCTTATGGAGCAACAGAAATAGAGCTGTTTCCACGGTAACCGCTGTGAACAAAGCAGCTGCGCTTATAAACGCTACTTTATTAGGCATTACAAGGATGAAAAGCAAATACGATTGAAACTTTTCTGGAGACAGTCGGTTCCCCTTATGCATTCATACATACATTCTTTCATGTATTTTCTCTCAGCACTCTGCCTTCCTAAATGTTTTCACACAAAACGAAACCTACACTGCATGTTGCGCCTGCGCGAGACATGTTTAACAGCCTTCATTATGTCTACGTTATGTGCTTCTGTTGTTATGTAGTGTGTAATAAAGACAGGCTTTGTGTGTTTGCAGTTTCAGCTTTAAGGTATGACTTTTATTTGAATATAGGTCTATAAGGTGTGAAACCAGAACCCAGTACCAAATCGTACAGCACAAGCTGGAGTGAGGTAAGTTCAGCTGCTGAAATTTTGAAGTTGGTTTAACGTGTAACATGCGTAAAAACTATGGTAGTAATAATAATAATAATAATAATAATAAGGCCATATTTTGAAAAGACAAATATGCTTTAAACTTGTTCATAACAGACATTCAAAAAAATGTATCCACACTATTACAGAAGACAGAAATGCAAATTAAGAGACTGTATATTAGGGATGGACATTTTTCAAAAATACTGCATTTGAATATTTGAGCATTAGGGATGTAACGGTATGAAAATTTCATATCACGATTATAGTGACCAAAGTCATCACGGTTATCAATATTATCACGGTTTTGTTCAAATTAGATGAAAACGTTCAAAAAGAACTGATACACACACTGAAAACATTTCAATAAGTTTTATATTTGAAAATCAACAAACAACAAATACAATTAGCAGCTATATGCACTTTTTTTAGCATAAACATTAAATTAACATTAACATGAAGCCCTAATAATAATAATAATAATGAGCTCATAAAAAAAAAATATTAGCTAGATTTTGTCAGTTGTAAAGTGCTCAATATGTGGCACTGAGTTACTGTTTTTAAAGCACTTGTGTGCACACTGATTTTGAAATCACACTTTAGAGAAATACCCATACACCAAGTCACCTTTAAAATCTATTCTCTTTATTTTTGTAATTGTTTTTTTGTTTCTACATGGATCACATAGAACTCAAAGCTCCAGACAAAACCACATCACCTTTGCATCAAGTAATATAATAAATAATATTTCTCAAAACATTTTTATAACAGTGTCAGGAAAATGAACTTACTGAAAATGAGCTTCAGTAAGGTAACTTTAACAGACAGGTTTAAAAAAAAAAAAATTCAAATACATAAATATAACTTCAAAACCAAATCAAAATGTTTTTCTTCCCCTGTATGTGTACAAGATGAGGACTTTAAAATTGGGTAGCAAAAATGAGTGGGAAAAAAAGTGGAAATCCAAAATTTACCCCAGGAATAAAGTAATAAATTTGTAAAAAATTAAGCTCAAATATATATAACCCTCAAGTGACATTTGTGATATGTTTCTAGAATTTCAAAGAGCTGTGATACGAATTCATTCAGAGGAAGACTTTTATAAACCCAGGGTTTCTACGGTCTGAAAAGGTCGATTATTTGCATGCAAAATAAAAGTTTGTGTTTACATAATATACATACCAGTGTAATAAAATGCATTGTAATCAAACAATTAATATATTCAAAATAAAAGAATCTGAGTTTTTAATACAATAAGGAAAAGGATTTTGAATGAAAATAATAATGCTGATTTTACACTGGTTTCATAAGCCAGTTTATTATTATTATATTAAACCTTATAAACATCAGTACCAACAGTGAATTGACACAGGGTATTATTTAAATGGAAAGTTTAAACGGTATTGAAGATAAATGGCACATCAGTGTAATCCTACATTGCAAATCACATTAAAACACCCCAAAGAACACTTTTTAACATAAATATATACATGTATGTGTGTGTACTATTTCAAACTATTTATGTCTAAGAAATAAATGTAATTTATATTTATATATAATATAAATCACATAAATATAAATACATGTAAATATTTAAATGTATACATATACACAGTACACACATATATTATGTATATTTTTTGAGTTTATATATGATTTTTAAGGAAGCGCACTGTCCCTTTAAGAGATGCTTAACTGTGGGCGTGTTCTCTCCTCTCTCAGTTGAGGCTAAGTTGATGAGGATGATCGTGGCTCATAGAGCCAAAGCTGATAATATTTTAATATAAAATGCAAGACAGAAAACCATTTCAACTATAGCACGTTTATTTTCCTATTTTTAAACAGGAGATTTAAATGCTTAAATACTAAATAGAATATTATTAAAAACTTGTTTATTCATATTATTCCAAGCATATGACATTTTATTTCCAGCAAACAATCAGTGAGCAGCGCGTTCCCGGGCTCGTAGGATCACAGAACTCGCTTCTCCACTGTGAATAAATCGCCATCTGAATCCATGAGTTTTATCACTGAGGTGGCATGCAAATTTATTTTTACAGACGTCTACATGAGAAACAATTACCGTACGAATAGAGCTAAAGTATTATAAAACCATAAGTTGCCATGACTTACTGATCATATTTTTGTTTTTGTTTTTACAATTTATCTATATAAATGAACAAGGGCTTCAATGGAGTGAGAGCACAAATTTTAGTCAACCTGTTGACCTGTAGAGCTTTTCAGAGTCTCTCAGTGTGCCATTTTCTAAAGCAGTTCCTTGATGAGCGAGCACAATCATACATTTTGTATAATACACAGGAGTCTTTACTTTGAAATCATAACTCAGTCCATTACCAGAGGACAGGGGAGACTTGCCTTCATAGACGAAACTTGCTTGTCTTTCATGTACTGTTTGATGCTGATTCTTGCTTTTGATGCCACCATGGACATCACAGATTTTGGGAACAGTAAGCGGTAAATGTCTTTGCCCGATCAGTAATCAATGATATTTTTTGCACCAAGGAGCCCAATGTAAATGACAAGTGTGATGTACGTATTTCTTGCGTAACTGTTTTGTGTTCTTCTCAATGGTGTCAGATGTGGCTCACATCTGTTTTCCGTGCATGACATTTGCGCAAATGTAATTCACACATGCAGATTACAGATACACAAATACAAAAGCGCACGGAAATACAAGCAAGCATAACCAGTGCACAAATGCGTGTGATAATTCAAATATAGACACAACAGGCAGAAATATAAAATGCAATTCACAAATGCACGAAACGGATGTACAATTGCACCATGCAATACACATGAACAATACACATTATCTTGACCTAAAAAAGTGGTTATATCTAAGTGTGTGACTTGTTTATTTACTTTTTTATTTAGTATTCCCATTAACGGCATTATAGTGTTCATTCAGACTGATTCGGGAACACGCACGAGCATAAGAGGCGGGATTTATCGCATGAGCCAATCACAGCCATAACCAGTCATATCCAATCATATCGCGATGGAGGCATTGCCTCCTCTCACGTGACTTTCCCCCATTCATTCTCAATTAGGTCTGTTAAAACTCAATGGGCTCAGGGGAGGCGAGAGAGACGCGTACCTGCTGGTGTCGCTGTTGCACAATGTTCTTTTTAAAAAACAAGTGATTTATACACTTTATAATGTTATATTTTGTAATAATTGCATTGTTTAATTTTTTTACTGCAATTTTTTTTTTGTCTTCCAATATTTTGAGGAGGCACTGCCTCCGTTGCCGCCTTGGTGGAAATGCCCCAATATATACTGTACTGTATATATATATATATATATATATATAGGGTGAAGTCTGCAAAATTTGGACATCCGCTAAAATGGGACAAATAAGCTGTTTGGTGTAGTGCTCTTTAAAAAAAAAAAAGCATTAATGGTGTGTGGTCTTAAAATGTTATAATAACAGCACTTAATTTGAATATCCATGGCCTTTAATTAACTCAATGAAATGTATTACAGAACACAATGGCACCACAGCGACAGGAAAAGAGATGGCAACAGAAAGAGCGAGGAAGAGAGAGAGAGAGAGGGAAATGAGAGGAATACGAAGAAGCTAAACCAATGGAATGAGAGTAGAATGAAGGGAGCTATTGCTGAGTACAAGGAGCTAGTGGAGGCAGGTAGCATCCCTAGGCTTCGTTTTTTGGCCAGGGCCTGGAATGTTCCGAAGTCCACCCTTCAGCGAAGAGTCAAAGGCACAGGGGACCACAAACACACAATCAGGAGGAAGCCCTTTATCTCCCAAGAAGATGAAAATGTCCTCGCAGAGCTTGTGAAGACACTTGGGAAAAGGGGGTTTCCCCTAAGTACAACTACACATAGTACAAAGGCACAGCAAACAGCACTAGAGACACCTAACCCTCAGTGAAAGCTTCTACTCATTGATGAATTATTAATTTTTCTCTGTCGTGTTGCAGCTGGGCTTCACGAGAAAACGTTCTTCTACATTTTTAGGTCTGCTTGTTTGTCGTATCATCTTAACATGGACAAGCGACCTTTACCAGGTTCTTGGCTGGCAACCATTGTGGATGAAAAGAGAACAAGTGCAGGCCAAGTTCAAGCTCTACTGCCCTCATGTGAGAGTGATAATAGACTGCACTGAGATCCGTTGTGAAACAGCATCCTCCCTCTTACTACAAACTTCTTCCAACTATAAAAATCACACCACCTTTAAAGGTCTAAATGGCATCGCCCCATGTGGGGTTATAATATTTATATCCTAACTGTACTGTGGATAAACTGTTGCCTAATGTCAAACTACAAGGGACCTCTTGAAATTAAAGGGGATAACCCAGTCTGAAGGGTTCCCTCTCCTTCGAGACGTTTCTTGGAGGAGCCTAATTCTTTACTACAATAAGTATAGAGGGACCGTATACAGAAGTGCTATGTAATTATGTATTTAAGATTTTGCATGAATGTTTTCACATTTCACATTTTAAAATTCTGCCTCAGCTTAATAAGATATCCATGTGGATGTTATAATAAAAAATAACCCTGTCTCATTGAGTTGATCTCATCCCTAAAGATTCTCTCACAAGTTAATGTGGGTATCTGTAATGAAATCACACCACTGAAGTCTGCTTAAGACCAGCTGGCCTTGAACCTGATAATAATGCTTGGCAGACCTGGGCTGCATTTCTCAAAAGCATCGTAAGCCTAAGGAGACCATTGCCACACCAATGGTCTCTACGATCAACTTTTGAGAAACTTTTGACAAAAGCAGCCCAGGCCTTTAACTGTGATCAGGTGTTCAACCTGAGAAACATTGAGTTTACCTCAGCCAGTCCAAAGGGTGGTGTTTCCCTTGGGTTGAAGTCTGGCTGCGAGGGTGGATGATGATCCCACACTGTGTCACAGAGACATCACAAAAATCCTCTCAGAATGCGAGCTGCTAAGGATTTTGGCGCATATTTCACAGAATCTGCCAGCTGTAAGTTGCGTACCTGGGTCCACAGCTGGCATTTTGAGATCTCTTAAGGCTCTAAGTGGCATTGTTGAATGTAGTTGGGCTCAAAATCGATTTGAAGTTTAAAGTTGTAACCATCAACTGGAAACTGAAGAAATTCAGGTGCACCAGGGTGTCATGAGTGTTCTGAAGAGCAACAGAACAAGGAGGAGGCCATAGCGTAATGGATTGGGAACACAGGATTACCAATCACAACAACTGAAGATGAGGACTTTGCTTACTTTACTTTTCTTTGGAAGAGTCAGAACAATGTAATTGACAAACGTAATGAATTAAATCCGAATTCACAGAGAGGTTGGGCTGCCTGCCCAAATAGTGACTAAACGTTAGTCAACAACAAATTTTAATAGTCAAGTCAAAAATGATCCGTGTCTGTGGTCGTTCAACGAATTCACAAAGAGGTTGGGCTGCCTGCCCAAATAGTGTCTAAACGTTAGTCAACAAAAATTTTTAATAGTCAGTCAAAAATGATCTGTGTCTGTGGTCGTTCAGATTGATAACATCTGCTCTTTGAGATAATTACAATATATCGGAAATCCAAGCGTTCGCCTATCACTCGTCAACCTCAAATATGGCTTATTTCAAAGTGAAACATGCAAGTAGCAACTTTACATGGCCGCTCGCTCTAATGTTAATATAGATAAATGTGCACTGTCAGGCGCATATCCAAGTGTTTGTGTTTGTGTGAAGCTATTAGCGCGCTACTGTATGACATGGAGGCGCTGGCACGATCACGGTCACAAAAATGAATTGAAACTCAGTGTATATAGGCTACTTGCTGCACAGACATGAGACTGTACTGCAGAGATGGTGAGTCAGCATTGTCAATTTCATCTTTGCAGCCAATACTGACTCAGAAAACACTAGTTTATTAAATATGTGTTTCCGACACATAGCCTGTTAGGACACAAGGGCTCCTAGCACACTTTCAAATCCTTGTCGGTCGCTGCGATTCAGACATCAACAAAAGTGTCTTGGAGCGGTTCACAGAACTCGTCTTTGATGATCTGCATTTCCCGTTAGCCAACTATGGTCGCAAGTTCCGTCGTTACCAACATAGTTAAATGATTCGGTGTTTTCGGTGTTTCTAGTTCAAATGAACATTCGCAAA